GTCTTGTGCCACATCTGAGCTGCATAAATAGGTACTATGAATAATGGAATGTCACACGTCAACATAAAGTACTTGTGTGCATTCTACAGCCCTCGATTTTATTCTGGCCCCTTTTTTAGTAAGATTTTTTTGAATGCCTATTTATTTTGGTTAAAATTATCGAATAATGGTCATTTTTATCGCTGACCACAGTTGTTTTGGATGTGAGGTCTGCAGACTGATTCTATAAAAAGTTGATATCCATATATATTTGTGGCTAGGTTATGGACATCTTTTAGGAAATGGTTAAATTTAAATTTGAAATACCTGACCAGGGTCAATTTGTGATCGATTACTTCTTTTAAATATTTAATATGGTCAGCGGATGTCGTAGCTTAGTTTGAGCCACAGTGACGTGCAGGGGTTTGGTGAGGTTTGGTGATGCTTAGGTCAAATTCTTGAGTGTATGCCCTCAAGAATCAAATAAGCAGGCATGTATGGCCTAGTAATGAGAAATGTGAGAAAGGAAGACATTTGAAATGTATAAAAACAAGTGAAATATGAAAAAAAAAAAACACAAATAAAAACAAATTAAATATTAACTAAATTTTTATTTCACTCTTTTTTTCTTTTTTTTTTGGATGCCTTTGCGATATGGCATGCACGGGGCCGTCGCACACTCTAACCCCCCACCCATCGCTAACCTTCTGCACGCTAACGTTGCGTCATTACATAGCATTCGAGGGGAACCTTAACATTTGAGTAAAGAAAAATAGTTGCTGATACGGATTGAGAAAACGGGTATAAATTCGCTTATCGAAGTACAGCTTAGACGGGGCTGTTTAATACCCTGAAGTATAAATTTGGCGTGCCTGTCATACCCAGGGAGTTATTCTTGAATGGGCTAAATTATAACTGGATATACTCTGGGGGGAGTTAAATCTGGGCGAAAATAATCTGATGAAAATCTATATAACAAAATGGAAAATTGGAAGATCTTAGAAGACTTCTTGACTTATTCAATAAAAAGCTGTTCTCAGTTTGGATAATGAATTTGCTAAGTATTAAAACTCACGAAGAGCTGGAAAAAATGTGTTGTTCACGGGAACTAAAAAAAATCGCTTCAGTTTTTGTATTTAAAATTATGTAATTTTAGATGATTGTATGCAAGATGATAGAATTTAAAATGAGTTAAAATGAATTTACAATGATGGCATATAAGATGAATTAACATGGTGGTATTTAACATGAATTAAGATGATGGCATTTAACATGAATAGTGATAATGCTATTTAAACTGATGATATTTAAGATGGTCTTATTTAAGACGAAGGATGATTTATTTATATTTAAAATGATGGTCAGTATTACTGCTATCATCTCTTCCCTTAAATATATGTGGTCTTGAATAATTTTTAACCTGTCTGCCTTGTGACGTACTAGTGTATTTAAAATCTAAACTGCACTAAGATTGCTATAGATACTCTTTTGTGGACACGCTTTTTTGTGGAAATTTAAGCACAGTACTAGATTGAAAAGGATTCATTACTTTACAGTTGAAATGGCTAGATATAACCGTAATTTCTATGCAAACTGTTTCTCCACTTGCACTTCTCACCCGTGGAACTCTCTTCCGGCTTGTCAACTTTGATCTTCAAAACATTAATGCAATGTTGATCGTTATCTTAATTCCTGTTCTTTTATTGTACTTGCTCCTTAATGTTTTTCTTTATTTGTCTTATATTCTCTCACCTCTCAATAACCCCTTGCATCTTAGTGGCATTGTTACCTTACTTAGGGTGAAATGATTAAAAAAAACGGAATTAAAAACATCTAACTTTCTATCGATTTTCAGGGTTCATTATTTAAGTGTGTTTTTAAAGCTTATTGTTTTATAATATGAATGGATCAATACGTCTGTAGCTTAACTAGTTGAATCAGACGTGAAATTTTCACTCCATAATGCTCCATCCAAGTAATCAATGGAAACATTTGGTTAAGTGTATTAACATTTTTATCATCCTTGGGCTATGAAATTATTGATGCCTACTCATAAATATATTACGGGTGCTCCGAAAGTAACGCCTTCTATTTATTACCACGAAAACTCTAGCACAATCAAACATTTTTCAGCAACAAAACACTATCGTAGCCACCACTGGCAATGCGTTTTCACTAGCGATGAACATAGTTTGTAAAACGCGTCTCTGTCGCCAGTGCTGAAGCACATTACCTACCGCCTGTGCTTACATGCATTGTCTGGTCTTCGTAACTATTCAGCAACCTTCGATGAATACTAGTGTATGCTGTTTTTTTTTTTTATTTGCTTGATTTTTTTTTTTTTTTTTACGCGACGGAATTCACTAAAACACACTTGCTTTTTATATACTTTCATGTCAGACACCATTTTGCTACTTTGCTGTACCTCTCCTATTTGTAATAAATTAAAAAAAAAAGAAAGAATTTCTGTTATTGGACGGAAGGCCTATAGTTTACTTCTATACTAGTAACATCCACCCACCTTTTGCGCTATGGTTCAACATAATGGACTATTTTTAAAATAAGCAACTCTTTTATTAGCAACTGTATTCAGTTTTGAAAAAATCTTAAGGATCATTACAACTGGCGTCAGTATAGCTTAAGCAGCTTGCAAAAAGAAAAATGGTAAAATATTGACGGAATATGTTAATTAATACTGTATTCAAGAATTCTACTAATTTTACGAGCCGAAATAACTTCCCTTTCTGTTTATTAGACCCAAGCATAAACCTTTCCTCGACAAACATTATCATCTAGGTTTTATCCAAGAATCTCAAGTTGATATCCTGCAAAAGGGTGACAGATTTTGACTATGCAGATTACCTAGCTAACACTTCAGACACCGTTACCAATGTCACAGTTCTCCTACATCATACAGAAAATGTTGCCCATGATGTTCGACTATATGCCAATGACTTCAACCAGCAATGATCAATACAAACTGTCACAGGTGAAACAATAAAATCTGTTGAATCTTTTTACATACCTAGGAAGTGAAATAAATTCTACTGAAAAGTGTGTGAAAACTCGCATAGTTAAAACCAGGCCCCCTTGAATAAAATGGATGCAATCTAGGAGTCTGATCTATCAGACAACATCAAGCAGAGATTCTTTCGAGATGCGTAGAGGTGGTGTTAATGTATGGTGCCACTGCCTTGACATTAACTAAAACCCTCGTCTAAGTTTAATGAAACCTACACTCGGATGCTGAGAGCTATACTTAACATGTCTTGGAGACAACATCCAACTACACCGTTGTGCAAATTGAAACAACGAAATTATTCGTTTTGTTTCAATTAATTTGCACAAGAACGCAAATCACAGCTCTGTGTATCTAGCCCTTGTATTTCTACAATCTTACACGAACGTAGAAAGCACTTTGCAGGACACTGCTGGCGAGCAAAACAAGAAATCACGATTGACCTGCTGTTCTGGACACGTAAAATAATTGTACATTAAACCAAAAAAAGGAAAGGTGCACCTCATCTCCCAAGATGAGGACATTATTCCGAATGTAAAACACCTTATTCCAGAAATTTAGACAGAAATTAAACAATGAGATACAAAATAAGTTTTTATTTGTACTCAAGAATTCTACCAATGTACCAATTTAGTTACCTTGAAATATGTCTTTTCTGTTTATTAGACCAAAGCATAAAAAATCTACGTGACCATTTATGGAACTTGAGTACAAATTCTTGTGCCAAAGTTAAAAATCCCGAATATTGGTGAATGTCTTAAGTTGCTGATTAATATATCTTGTGTATTTAGACAGCAAATATTATTTAAGGCAAATGTTATTAAAAACAACAGACATTTTTTGTCGTTTAAGTTTTTATTGATCGACTTTTACAAATACTCCTTCTCAAATTAAGATAGGTTGATTGATTTATTTTTTTTAAACGGCATATCAACACCTTATGGGTCATTTAATGCCGAAATGTCATTTTCTAAGGGAGCTTTTGGGATGCTACGACTTTCTTTTGAGGTCTGGAGGGAGGGAGCTTTATTCCCAATAGAACCTCAGTAAACGGCCTCATTAAATATATATTTATTGTTTTAATTAAAGCATTTGTGACACAAGGTCAAAGGGGAAATAGGGAAAGGCTGGTCGACACTTTCTATCCTAGACATAGTGAATCTACTTCATGACCCATTCATTCATTACAATTTGCTGATTCACCACAACATCTCATCCCTCACCATTCAATACTACATATACTACAAATTAGGGTAGATAAAGACAAATGGTTAGTTTCATAGAACTAATGAGTGTTGTGACGTGTGTATGTGCGTTTTTTTAGGGGTGGAGGTTACATATGTAAAAATGCAGGCTCGTAAATTATAACTCTTTTTATTTTTATATATTTTTTGTTGATTGAGTATTGCTTCGAGGATCATAAGTCATTTTATTTTTTGAAATGAACTTTGGACAATTTCTGACGGAATGTTCTCCTCATCTAAGAATGATTATTCGTAATTTGGAAAAGTCGATCAATAAAATTAATCGACACAAAATGTCTGTTGTTGTTTTTTTTATATTAACATATCGTGTATAAAAGGAGGCATTACTTTCGGGTCACCTTCATTTATTTTCAAGCATCTAAATGAAAAAAGAAAATGGATGAAATCCCCCAACACTTTAATTTGTCAAAATAATCTTGATGTTCATTCTGAATTTATAGGATGCTGTTTGTGAGATGAATCTCAAAGACCAAGAACTGCGACTGTTAACCAAGAATTGAACCCGGATTGGAACCATTTCGGATGTCAGCAGGAATAAGATGTTTCTCTTCGTTTCAGATAAGTGATTGATTCAACACGAAAAGCTAAATAAAGTTCAAGAGGCTAAAATCAGAACCCGGACGCTAACAAGGGCTCTTCAAACGAAGGAAGTGGAGGAAAAAAAAGCTTAAATCGAAAAAGTCACAGAAAGCGAAGAACTGAAGTATATTTTTATGTTTTTTCTTCTTTCATTTAAGGTCAATTCATCGGGCACAGAAGTCCCGGCCACAGTGGATCTTTCCATTTTCCAGTCCCTCATGGTATGTCATTTGGAAAACACACCAATAGCCAAAATTGTCCAAGTGTTATCCACCTTTTCCTCTATTCGATTGACTATTAACACCTTTTATCTGTTCCACCTTTCCCCACTTTCTTCAAATTGGTGTTGTCTTTCTTGCTACATCCACTTCGAGAGAAGCTGTGAGGAATTAGATTAAGAGAGAAACAAACGCTGATATTTCACTCTGCGTCTGTGTAGGGATAAACTGAATTGAAACCGGCGGTGTGTATTATTATTTCATTTCTTTCATAGACACGTCTTATTCGGTTAATTTGCATAAAATATCCATTGAGGGACTACATTCTGAAGTGAATTTAATTTTATAATCTTCAAAATGAAGATCAATTCTTAAAATATTTTTCTCTCCGTTAAACAAACTGAAATATCCTGTAAAGAAAAGGATGAAGTCGCTTAATATGTACATCGATAGAAATAGAGCAAGATACATGTATTGATATGATATACAGTATAAAGTACTTAATATTTCTCAAAGGCAGCAATATTAACTGAAGGCCAAATCTGTGAGTTTCAAACATAGGTTTAGACCTATGTTTGAAACTCACCATAGTAATTGTGAGTTCAATCCCTGGGCCGGGTAGTGTATACTTAGATTCAGTGGAAACAGGGCCAGCAATAACGGAATAGTACTAAAAATGAAAAGTATTTACGCTATGTACATTCGGACTATCGTCTCCATCTTTGTTGTTGCTATCACAACGATTCGGCCGTTGTACCCTCCGGCCTTCCTCAGATGTATATCGATCCGAATAACTTACAGGGAATTCTGAACTGAACCCTTTATTTAGTCTACTAGGGTTGACTGTTCTCGTTCTACCGCCCCTCTTGTTCTTATTTTTAGTACTGATAGGTTATTACTCGCCCTATTTCCACTGAGCCCAAGTACACACTACCCAGTCCAGGGATTGAACTCATAATTACGATGCAACGGAACAATAGCCTAGTGGATTAAAGCGTTGGTTCGTCAATTTGGTGACATAGTAGTTGCGAGTTCAATCCCTGCGCCGGGCAGTGTGTACTTGAATTCAGTGGAAACAGGACGGGCAATAACTGAGTTACCCCTTGCGTCTTAGTGACATTATCGCCTTGCTTGAGATGAAATGATTTTAAAAAATAAATATTATGCTGAGTGGACGTTAGTTACAGTTTATGGGAGAGCGCGCATAATCCGGTGTAATCAACAGTTTGAACGATGCCAGTGCGCTCACACCCTCGGTCACGATGACTTCTGACTGAGTGCTAAGACAACATCCACACCTATCGGTTACGCTGTTTTCACTCTCAAGGCTTCGGTCAACCAGGGTTAGGTTTTTTCGGGCGCTCTCCAACAGTGCCACACGCTGGGATTGCCTTTCCCACTTGTAACCACACGGCTACACACACACACACATATATATATTTCATAAGTCCGATAATTATTTTAATGTATTTTCTGTTTATACGTTATTTTTATAGATATAACTTATTTAAGTAAATGCTCTGCTTTTTATAAAACGATACTAATTACATTCACAGGCTTGAATGTTCGAGAAATTTCGAAGAAAATATGTGCTTCTCCGACAAGAATCGAACCTGTGACCCTACTGGGGGGCCATAATTTAATCTAATGTTAACCATTCAGCCACAGAGAAACGTTTGGTTAGCAAAGTCCGAATTACTGTTTATAAACCTTTTCTTTTTTTCTTCTTTTTTTTCTTTTTTAATTTTTCTCGATCGATCATTTCTGCTCACGAAACATATCTTAACGTAAAAAATGATGAATTTTAAAATATTTTCTGTTTAATGGTTAACACCACGTCAGAGGATTGTTCCCATTAGGGTTACAGGTTCGATTCCTGTCGGAGAAGCGCATATTTTCTACGAAATTTATCGAACATTCAGGACGGTAAATGTAATTAATACTCTTTAATTAAAAAAAACAAAAAAACAGAGCATTTACTTGAATAGATTATATCTATAAAAATAAAATAACGAATATATATATATAAATATATATATATATATATATATATATATATATATATATATATATATATATATATATATATAGCTTTTAAAGTTTAAGTTTAACATTACAAGGCATAATGAGGAAGAAAAAAAATAAATGGTGGGAAAGACAACAGTTTATAAATATGATTGTAGCTGCGGAGTCAGTTACCTAGGGAGAACTACAGCTTGATACTTTTAAGCAACATGTTCCATTGAAAATCCGGAACCATACCTGGCAACGAAATGAACTTATCCGCAATACTTCTTGTTCCTCAATTTGTGAACATCTAATAAAATAGCCGAAACTGTGCTATGGAATTTAGTGTGGATTGGTTCTCTGTTTTCGCCAATTCACATTTACTAGTTCATATGAAAGTACTAAGCTCGGTTTACATCAAGTCTCACAGACCCTCGCTGTGTAAAAAGCGAGAGTGTTTTCTAGCTCTTGTTGTGATCAGTATCTAGGCGTTCAATTTTTGTTATTGTCCTGCATTCCCAACACTGACTAATTCATATCTCATATTTATTATATTTTACTTTAAATTCTCCTGATAAAGAAAATTTGATGTTCGGGAGCGAAACCGAATGTTTTTTCCCTCTTTTTATTATTTTATCCCTCATTATGCCTTGTAATGTTAGACTTAATACTTTTAAGGCAATACTCAAGTTTTGTACCACTAAAAATCCGTTCATATATATATATATATATATATATATATATATATATATATATATATATATATATATAGAGTGTAAGAGAGATTTTCTCTGGTCCCAAATTAGAGCCTGTGTTAATGTATATAGATTAGACCAAACCGGATATAAGAGACTTCTTCTCCGGTCCCGACAACACTCTTATATCCGGGTTACACTCATATATATATATATATATATATATATATATATATATATTCGATGAAGTAATTTTAACACCTAAAAATCCTGTGAAATACGTGAGAACCTCATTTTGTATACGTTTCATTCGAAAGTTGTTTTTTTTTCTTTTCCTTTTTATTTTCTGTATAGAACTTTTTACTTGTTCAGTTCTGCGAATATGAAAATTCCGACCAAATCATCGAGACGTATATGCTGCCTTGGGCAAGCTATCGTCTCCATAGATTCCACCAAGAGACACAATGATCAAAGAGAAAATTGCCTGGAAAACGGCTGCCAAATAATGGCACAGCTTCTTAAATCTCCACATTAGATTGTTGAAAAACGACAGAAGATATCCAGTCGATATTTCTAATATATCTTCCCACAGATTAAAATCGTTTGTTCGCATGAATAAATTTATTAGCGACGTTTTCCTACAGTTGAAGATATTCTCTTAGTCATTAATGCTTCCACTGCGATGAACGTACACTACGGGCAAAAAGTTTGGGACCACTCTGCATTTCTCTAAAAAAAAAAAAATGCCTTTAAATTAGATATTTTATGTAATTTTTTTAAAGTAAATATGAATAACAACCGCTCCAGATTATTCACTCTTTTCCAGAAACTATATTTAATGTCCGCTCAAGATAGTTGAAGAATAAACCTGATGTTTATACTGCAACTATCCTCAGTTCTGTCTATGTTGAACAAATAAAAATGTACCTGAGTAGGTGTTTCCAACAGGGATTGGTTAGACGCCCTAGCTGTTAGGGCGTCTAACATATACATATTACTCGAATCCTGTTTGTTTTTTCATGTAATTTTTACTTTTGTTTTTAATGAATTCGCCCCAAGTAAGGCAACAATTCCACTATGACGCAAGATGCTACTGTGAGTAAAAGAAAATGAAAAAACTCTAGCAGTGAACCAGACGATAGGCAAACCTATCTCCTCCTATTGAGGAGAAGATAAATAATTAATAAATAAAATTTCAGAGTTCAGACGGATATGCTAAAAGTATAGAGTTGAATTAGACTTTAGAAGGAATCGGAAAGCCAATCCTAAACTGCTCGAAAGATCGGGGAGGAGTGTGAACAAGGACGACACCGGTGCTCTATAGCAATTGTTACATCTGCATACACATTTCACTTACTAAACATGTAACAAAGGTTAAATAAGTTACTCTGGCTTAATTAGGATTTTAGGAAATTCTTTCTGTTATTTTCGCTCCCAGCTGAACGAGATAAGACTACAAATAGATAAAAGAACCGATTGCGTTCAGGGATTTCAATCTGCTTTTTACTACCCCTAATCAAGTCCTTTTCCTGCTGACCAAACCACCCCAAACAATTGGTGTTCGGTGTTTGTTCTGGATGTTTCTTTCAATATACGCTTCTCCTTTCTCGATTTTCCCGCGTTTTTATAGCTGCCATTGTATGACATGACCTTTGCATTTCCTGCCTGTAAATTTTTGATGTCATTCTTTTACCATCGCTAACCGTCATCTTCTTTTTTATCGTCATTTTTTCCGCTCATATTTGTCTTCTTCCATTTTTAAAAATTTTTCAAGACTAAAGGTATTTTTGAAACGTTGTGCATGTATTTTTAATAATGTTTTCTATTTATTTCTTTTTCTTGATGAAACTTGTCACAAGAGAAACAATTTTCTTCATAAAAACTCATCGAATTTTTTTTTGCGTTTTATAGATAACACACTCTTGTTGCAATCCACGATATCAGAGGATAACATCGCAAATGTAAAATTAGATACATCGAAATTCTCATTTACTCTAATGATGGCGTATAGAGCAAATATCAACTAAGTAGAGAGCAACATTTTCTTAGAATATATACGAAATCAAAAGATACTGCGAATCTAACATTATTAATAAATTTCTGTTGTAACCTAGGAAGGATTACTGAATTAGAAATTACCAAAACGGAGGTTGGAAATGAAAAGGTAATCTTTATATCATCAACAAAATACAATACTCGCCAGCGGCGTAAAGTAGGTAAACCACTGCTAGCGGTGTACTACAAAAGACAGCATATTACCCTCACTTATAATAGTGTCCAACGTATTTATGAGGATTGGGACATACCCGTTAGTATTCATATGTACTGTATATAACAATTTCATATTTATCTCTTCTGAAAAAAAAAACTTTCGGCAACTGTCTTGAGTGTGGGAATTGTACCTTTATTTTCCACGGAGAAAATTCTTTCCGCCCACTTTACTGGGTGTTGCTTAGAGAAGGTAAGTATTTTTCACAGGGCTAACTACAAATGATGCTTACGGCTATACCACGTTGGAACACCGATTCCTGTACGATCGTCAAAGTTAAGCAACATCGAGCCTGGTCATTACCTAGATGTGTGACCGCTTGAGAATACCAAGTGCTGCAAGCTTTGATGTGCAGATGGTGTAGAGGATAATGGCTTGTAATCGTTCATCGGAGAGTCGAGTTCCAATTGGGTTCATTATATTCACTTACGCACAAATACCCTTATGAATCCATCTCTTCTACCCCCAGCTATGGGTTAATTAGTAAGACTTGTATTACTAAATCATTATCTCCCCCCCAAAATTCTTACAATCTAAAAACATCTTTTTGGTATTAAATAACCTGCAATGGGTTGATATGCCGTAAAAAATGGGTTAATCAATCAATCAATCAATCAATCTGTCAATCAATAGAACTACGAATTAAAATCGCCATCACTTGCATGTATAAGTCGAATTTGATAATGTAAGCACTGACTTTTGCAGTTTTTACTGAAAATTTGGTGGAACAATTTTTGTAAAGTCTCTATACGTTATGCATTGAAAATTAGAAAGAAAATTATTTCAGTGATAAATATTTATACCACTCTTACTTAGGATGGGGCTGATATAATGTCTGACGTAGACACTTTTATTATGCTTCATTTACATACGCACTATTGTCCATATCTTTTTTGTCATTGTGTGTTGATACGGGGAACTTCAATCGGGGGCAGATTGTTCTCGTTCCGCTGACCACATCTATGGATATTTCGCCTAATTCTTCTTTAGCACTGCTCAGTTATTGCTCGACCCATTTCCACTGAGTCCACGTACACACAGCCCAGCACAGGTATTGAACTCACATTCAATGTGTCATCAAATTCACAAACGAATGCTTTAGTCCAATAGGTTTGATTCTTCTGAAGGAGAATTAGGCTATTATCCCGTGGGACAATCCCGAGTGGATATCTCGGAGCCTTGAACCTGCACAGTCTTCTCACAGATGAAAAGACCGGTGGCAACAGAAAAGAATCCTAGAGAAGAATGCTGAAAATACCATGAATACACATGAGAATAATAAGGAAGTTTTAATAGGGAAGGATGCTGAAAATACCATGAATACACATGAGAACGATAACGGAAACAAAACGGATGGTTATGTTTAGAATCAGAATTAGTTGAAATTTCTAGGACACAGGAAGGAAAGCTTGGAGAATATGACACTCAGAGGACGTATTGAAGATGAGTGGGACAAAGGGTTACAGCGAGTGACTCACCTAACGAGCTTATGCAGATGGATGGCAGAAGAGAGAGTGGGATAGATGTTGAAAAGGCAAACATTACTAAGGGCTACAAGAGATAGGAAGCTGTGAAGAGCCACAGCACATAGATGATGATGAGTTTAAAAAACACAAATAATAGAAATGTGTATAGCGCTGTGGTGAATGTTTTTCAAATTCGCGAGCTTATGCGAAAATTTATTTTAACCATTAGAAAAAGAGATTGACTCCGGGCAGAAGAAAAGACAAAGGTAAAGTTTAAAAAGCCTATGTGGACACCTGTGTTTCCTCATCATTATTCCTCAATACTTCAGCTCAAACTCCAGTTTTTCTTGTTCTCTTTACGTGACAATTGTATTTTATTTACTCGGCTCAACTGAACTGATACATTTATTTTTTATTAATTACATTAAGGAAAAATAAGTGAAGCTTATTGCTTCTACTTTCATTGACAGGATGTTGAAAAACGGATGTAAATAGATACGGGCCTTGCCCCTGTCTGGGTGAATTAAAATTTAATGTTAGCTCGAGCCCTGGAGGAACGCCACCAGTCAATACCTATCCTTCGAGAGAAATCTAAGTCCATAACCTGGTGCCTAAGCCATCCCCGAAAGGGTAAGTGCCGATGGCTTTGAGCAATGTCTTGTTCCCAGTCCACGTATGCTTGGTCTACCAAGCTACTTTAAACTCGACTTTGTTCTATTCAAATCAAACGGGCGTACCGGTAAATACCTACTTGACTCCTAAGATGTGTGGATAGCGTAATGTTTATCAGTACGGGCCCGGTGGGACAAGTTCTGTTGTTACTATAAATGAGCGAAAGAGACGTTATGTAAATATATATGTGTGCGTATGTGTGTGTGTTTAATCCAAATATATTATGCATGGATTTCAGGCATAGTATCCGTTGGACGTGGCTTTATTTCTCTCCGTCTATCTGGACTGGTCTGCTCAAATAAACAGCGTTACCTTTTCTTTCTCCTGTTAGTTTTAATTTAGACTCCCATTTATCGGATATAATGTCAAGAAAACAATATCTTGCATTATGGTTTCATCCAGTGCTTTATGGTGTTGTGATAGGGTCAGCTAGGTAGGTATCTTTGGGGGCAGGACTTAACGAGCTGGTCTCATCACCGATTACTAGTACATTCGATACTCTATTTTTCTGAGGCACTGTGACACACTATGTCAGGGCGACAAAATGTCTAGAGGCGCTCTCTGTAATGAGGCTGTTATGAAGCAAATTTTCTTACAAGTAATGAATGATTCTAAAAAGTTACTCCACTCTTGAGGCCTTGTACCCGACGAGGTTAAACTGGGTAATTCTCTTCCCAGTATTTTCTATAGAACGTTCTTCAGCTGTTATTCCCACAAATTGTTGCTCGTAAACTCATTTCTCATGAGGAGTGTTTGATTTTTTTTTTTTTTTTTTACTTCTTACAGGACGAAGTACATACCGTAAGTATCAAGGAATAATATGTTTAATTTTATATTTGGGAAACTGATCCAGTCAACCTAGCTATTGTAGTTTACAAGCTGAATGGATTTTTTTATCCGTCAGTGGGATTTAATGTTAGCAAAAAATATCAGTTTCACCTCCTAAAGATTGCTTTTGGACGATCAGTGTTAAGGTGTGACGTCATATCAACTGAAGATGACGTCAGCTGGCGTGCCGGCGTGATATCTCGTCAGCCAGTTTCAGTTAAAAACAGAAATAAATCCAATGATATTAACAATTGCATTATTATTGTACCTGTTTGTATATACCACTGATATGCTTTATAAATATCGCAAGACTCGATAACCATTGTTTAACCGACATCATTGATGTCTTTGACGCCAAAAGTAGACCATTGATCTTCATATTAACACACTCTTTCTTTTTTTCCTTTTCTTTTTTCTTTTCTATTTCCCTTTCCTCTTTTTCTTTTCTTTCCTTTCTATTTTCTTTCTCTTCTATTTTTCATTTCTTTTTTCTTTCTATTTTTCCTTTCTGTTTCTTTCTTTTCTATTCATTTTTTTTTATTTTTCCTTTCTTTTATATTTTTCATTCTTTCTTTCTCTTCCTTTTCATTCTTTCTTTTCTTTCTTTCTCTTCCTTTTCATTCTTTCTTTCTCTTCCTTTTCATTCTTTCTTTCTCTTCCTTTTCATTCTTTCTTTCTCTTCCTTTTCATTCTTTCTTTCTCTTCCTTTTCATTCTTTCTTTCTCTTCCTTTTTTATTTCTTTCTTTCTCTTCCTTTTTTATTTCTTTTCTTTCTCTTCCTTTTTTATTTCTTTTCTTTCTTTCTCTTCCTTTTTTATTTCTTTTCTTTCTTTCTCTTCCTTTTTTATTTCTTTTCTTTCTTTCTCTTCCTTTTTTATTTCTTTCTCTTCCTTTTTTATTTCTTTCTCTTCCTTTTTTATTTCTTTTCTTTCTTTCTCTTCCTTTTTTATTTCTTTTCTTTCTCTTTTTTTATTTCTTTTCTTTCTTTCTCTTTTTTTTATTTCTTTTTTCTTTCTTTTCTTCTTTTTTTTATTTCTCCTTTTTCTTTCTTTTTTCTTCCTTTTTTATTTTCTTTTCTTTTCTTTCTTTTTTTATTTCTTTCTCTTCCTTTTTTATTTCTTTCTCTTCCTTTTTTATTTCTTTTCTTTCTTTCTCTTCTTTTTTTTCTTTTTTTTTCTTCCTTTTTATTTCTTTTTTTTTTTTTATTTCTTTTCTTTCTCACTGTTTTTCTTTTCATTTCTTTTGTCTTTTTCATTTTTTCTTTCTTTTCCTTTTTCTTTCCTTTCTTCCAACCGAACATTAATTATTACTAATTTTGTTTATTAACTTTAGGTGCGTAATTTTATATCTAATTCTCATATAACAGCCCTATTCTGTCAATAATTACAGAAGTATATACGCCAAAGTAATGAGGAGACCTTAGTTTTCAACACGCATAGAAATAATTACAGGATTGACAGTTTGATGAAATCGTGTGCAGTTAATACGAAAACGAAAAATCTCATTAAAAAATCTATAAGACATCTTCCTTTTATTATATATTTTCTATTAACATTATATTTTGTATGATTTTAATGCTTATTTTGTTTGTTTTTTCAGTGTTTTATATGGCAATTCCTTTTCTTTTGTTTGTCATTAATCTTTTTTCTCATGTTCTCTTCGAAAACACAATTCTTTTCTTTTCGTCGTTCTGTAACGGGATTAACAGCATGTGCGAAACGGCTTAAAAGAAGTGGCGAGTTCGCATCCTCCTTGCGACTCATTCAGTGTCAGTTTTGCTCTATTTCTCTTAGGCAGAGCCTGATTCTAACCCTCCCATATCGTCTCCCTTGACACTTAACTTTTATTTCATCTTGTCTTTGAAACGCACCGATGGTAGACAGATGCGTAATCACATAAGCAATCCATTCCCGCTAAATTATTTTGTTTCCCAGGTAGATATAGAAAACAAATATTGGCTCCTGCGGATATTGACAATACATTGGAATTAATTGAAGCAGTGTTAATAATAATTTTCCAAGTATGCGATGAACGACATTTTGAAGCAGAGCGTACAGCTAATTTGGTCCATTCGTAAATAGCCCCACTTTTGACGGGTAATATGCTAATACAGTATGTCCGGAAAGTCACTATGCGCTTGTATTTTTATTAACAGATATGTTTCCCTGTAAAATACAGGTGGAGAATATGAGTGAAAATAATAATTATGTTGAAAGTGACACCCGTTAGCATCATTTAATGCTTGGACCCTTATGTTGCTTCTGAACACCGTTAGGTATTTTGTATTGGTGGCCTTATAAGAAGTTCCAAGACCAGCATCTTGCCTTTGCGCTAACTTTCGTAATGATTTACTGTCAGAAATATCTAACTGTTTCTCATCTGATAGCTTTGCTGGCCTTCCACAATGTTTGGCATCGTCCACTGATTGTGCTTCCCGAAATTTATCAACAAGGTTACGAACTGCATTGCGATGTGGAGCAGGTGTATCTGGAAATTTATCAGCAAAACGTTATTGTCCGGGATCCTTTAGAGAAGAAATGTGAGAGTCGCGCCATTTAAAGTTGCACCAATATCCATTCACCCCTCACTTCGCAATAAAAACATCAGAGAACAGGTCATAATTTACGTTACGATATGTCTACGTTAATTTGGAAATAGCTCACTAGTCTTCCCTTGATGTATCCGGCATTCTCTAGTCTTTAATATTATTTTCTCTCTATTTAAACGATTTACATTGTTTGGAATGTTGTCCTCATCTTTACTGTAATATTCACCACGTTTCGGCAGTTCTACGTTCCGGTCTTCTTCAGGTGATATACGTTAGCAATTTCGAACCTAGCCCATTTTTTTTTCGTGCACTGGAGTAGATTGTTCTAGTTCCACGTGCCATGCCTTTTCTGGTTATCTCATAGTAACACAACTCTCCAAGTTTTTTGTTCACCTCTGCTTCAAACAACGCTTTTATCAAATAGGTCATGTGTCCTTGAATATAACAATAAATATGAGGAAAATAGTCCAAACAGTGTTAATAGTTACAATACCTCATCTCAGAAATATAGACAGATGTTCTTTTCTCCCATTCTCCAATTTTCATTCTAGCAAGGCGACAGAAACTTATTTTTACGAGACAAATCCCCGCCTTACGAACCTTTCTCTGAATAATTTTTTAAAAAAATAATTCAGCAGACGGTGTTATATGCATTATGGTAACTGGATTTTTGGCGATTGCCTTACTTGGTTTGCTTCTTTCGATACTGTGCGTCTGAAAAATGTCATTTTATGCTGGTCGCCATTACTTCTCGGTCTTTTGGCTGGGATCAAAGTGTAGTATCCGCTCTCGAGAGGATAACATATAATTTCATCTCTCAGATGCGTCGCTATCTTCGGACAGAGCGCAACTGAAAATGTTACTGAGAGGTGTCCGGTCATGGGAAACAAATGTCTTCGGCAGTACCTCCCTCACTGTATTAATACCGATGCCAGCGCAATCGATGGTTGTGGTGGTTGGGCTATTTTGGGACCTGGCACGGGTGCACGCACTCGGACTCTCCACTTTAAACTAACCTTGTATCACATCCTGCGAGCGTAGAGCGGCAAGAAAATGCAATCTCTTCTAGACCTTCTTGCTAAGATCAAAGTATAGCATCTGTTCTTATCATCTTAATCTGATTCTGAGTCGTGTCTTTTCCGCTCTTTCCACGCTATCAAAACGGAATAGTCCATTATTTATTAAGTATTTATTCCATAGGATTTAAAGTTTTGAATTATTCCTGTTGTCCATTATACAATTACGAGAAAACCTATAGTAAATTAGCTGAAGTAACTTTGACTAGCTTATTAGACAAGATTTCACATTGTAAATTAATTTTTAAAATGTACTTCTTTTGATCATATTTTCAAATTCTCTGAAGTTTCATTGTAATAACATTCCACTTAAAAACTTATTCCTATTTCACCGCATCTTTTTTGTTATCACCTTCGACTTAAAAAGGTCCAATCTTTGACCTGATGGTCAGATTTTAAGGCGCTTGTTCGTGTCCTAATTTTCCAGTTAAAAAATTATGTACTTTGGCTCTAAGTTAAGATTTTAAGAAGCTTAATATTAAAATTTATACCCTTTAACCCTGTGTTCAGAGACTTAGAAGTCTCTGTTTGTTGCCAGCTTAAAATGTAATGTTCTCCATTTTTACCATATCTTCTGGTCGTAAGAAACCTTTTTTTTTCTGTTTTAAGCTTCAAATTAAAATTTATGCCCTTTAACCCTGTGTTCATATTTATGAGGCCTCTTCCAGTCATTACCTTCCAATTAAAATTTAACCCTATATTGGATTTCTAGAAGTTTCTCCTATAATCCACCAATCAAAATTTGCCAAAGCTGACGATTTCAGAACTCGTAATCCACTTAGGTATTCATTAAAATTCTGTCGGATTTATAACAATCTAAAATATCAGTATAAGCCGTGACGTCCCGATGGCCGGCTTCTTAAGCTTGATCTGTCCGACCAAGGTCTGTATAAATCATCATACCCAATTCACGAGTTCTAATTAATATGACAATTATTCCGCCGGCATCTTGGTACAGTATGACTAACATGCTATAACCTTTGACTTAGGCTTCATTATTCAATTACAGTATACACCTAGTATAGCTCTTTGCCTTCCTTCTGTACTATGCTTAATCAATGTCAGTATGGTAAAATTATTAATAGTTGTTTCCTTATAAGGAAATATTCGTTATTCATTGACCGAGCAGCCAGTGCTTCCGTCAGTTGAAATTTATGAAATCTTTCTATGGGATGACGATGTATAATATATATATGTGTGTGTGTGTATAATTACCTTGAGTGACTTGAAATTGGTTCCATCAAGCGTGACAACGGCAAAGTTAAAAAAAAAACAGTTTCGTAAATATGCACAAAACAAAATAATCCTTGATAAGAAATGTACCAACATTCGAAAGTATTCGGAAAAAATAATATAAAATAGAGACAAATATGAACTTTGGCAAATTTACTGACAACATAAAACAAGTGATTCGAAAACTTGAAAATTTAAAAAAAAAAAAAACATTATAGACAGAATTTAAATATTATTTAACCAAATATGTTTGAAAAAATATAAATACAAGTAAAAGGTTCGTCACCTAGCTGATTGATGTGACCATCAGCATCCCGACTCCAGTGTTTCGTAGACGATCTCTCCGTGAATCACTCCGTCCACTCGTCAGGGATATCAACAATTGACTGCTTATACATCTCGATTTTTCTTTTTTATATGCTGTTATCATTGGTGCATGTGTGCGTTCATGCGTACGTGTAGAATGTTGTGATTATTTGTTCTTTTCGTCGGTTTTCACTTTACACTCGCTCCTTAACCTTCTCTTTCTTTTTCCTCTATTCTTTCAGTCGTAGCCATTTTGACTTGGGGTTTTCTAGACATATACTGTCGTTGGTAATTCTTGAGCGTTCTAGTGTTTTCTTGAGTTAGGAAAATTGTATTTCATTTTTTTTTTTTTTTTTTACATGAATAATTAATTTTAATGCTGAAATAATAAAGTAAATATTTACATATGTCTTCGCCATTATTTCATTTTCTTAGGTAATTTGGTGGTATCTTAAGTACTATTAGGGTATTAATTGAAGGAGTTTAGGTTTATAATTAGATTTTTATTTATTTATTATTGTTTGAATTATTATGCATATGCTTATATTCATACGTTTACACACATGCCCATATATACACACATACATATACAAAAGCACCCACCCAAACAGATGCACACGTGTATGTATAGTGTGCGTATGAGAATGGGTGCTTCCACGTGATGTAATGGATAGCAAGCTTGCTTTGCTAGATCTATTACGACTGAAACGGGATTTCTATCTCTACTGGGTGGTCCATACTTTCGGCCTTGTGCCACATCTAAGCTACGCTTGGAAAATTATTTGGGCACCTACAGGCGGTGTAATGTTAGCAAGCTTGTCTCGCTAGAATAATTACGACTAAGTAGTAAGTTCGATCCTCACTGGGTACTTCATACTTTCGGCCTTGTGCCACATCTAAGCTACGCTTGGAAAATCACTGTGCATGAGTTCACTAATTCATCTGAATATTCATACAATGATAATGGTTTTCGACTTGTCCTTTTTTCTTCTAATTAGTGATCGATAGTTCTGTACATTTCTTTTTTCTTCCCCTTAAATTTACTCCACATTATTATTGTTGTTGTTATTTTAAAGAAGATGGTTAGTTAGGTATGACATTTTGGTCCCTATTAGTTGGATTAAAAAGAAAAAGGCAGTTTATTCTTTTTGCACGCATCGCAATTTCCCGAGTCCAGCGCTAAGAAGAAACTTCTGTTGCATGTTTTAACTAAAGATCAAAGTAAGTATCGTATGTATGAATTTCCAAAGATTTTGCCTTTTCGCTTTTACCCCTGTTTTTGTCGTTTTTTTCTTCTTCTTTTTTCTCTTGCTGTTCCTGTTTTGGCAATCTAAATATCTGAAGCATTTTTCTCTATTTTTTCATCTTTACTTCTTTTTTTTTTTCCTATTGCTATCAAAATGTGACTACATCTTGGCGGTCGCTTCCAACATCTCCGTACACAGTTTCACCATTTCTATAAACTTTCTCATTTGGATTTATATTTTTATTTTATTCTTCTTCTTCTTTCCAGCCAAGAATCCTTGCACTACAAACATCTACAAGATACCTCTGATGTACCTGACCGGCCAGATGACGTCTGAAAAGACTGGAAATGCTGCCTCTTGTCACCAGAATACGCTGTTGGCACCAGTCTCTACAGACCTACAAAAGTCCCCCACACTAAAAAGAAGTCCCCTCATACACACTAAAAGAAACCAGTCTACTGGTCTCACAGTTGAAAAGGTGGGTATTATATCCCTTGAATATTTTTTCCTTAAAAATTAGCGTTAAAAATACTTTTATTCAGCAAATCTATGTTCATTACGGTGTTATTTACTGTTAGAAGTGCGCAGTGAAACACCAAAAGATGCCTTCTAAAAGTTAGGCAAAGTATTAAGAAAAAGGAAAATTTCGTTAGAAACAAAAAAAAAACGTACTAAATTCTATTAGTCCTCCTATGCGGCCGTGAATGCTGAACAACCTTCTCACGGATGATGAAGAGACTTGAAGCAGCAGAAATGTGGTTCTACAGAACGATGCTGAGAATACCATGGACCGAACAACGACGAAGTTTTAAAGAAAATGGAAACAAAAATGACACTTAAACTTAACATCAGAAAGGAACAGTTGAAATTCCTACGACACATAATGAAGAAAGAGGGTTTGGAAAATTTGATAGGCATAATCTACCTAGGGGGCTTGAGCAAATGGATGGCAGAACAAGGTTTAAGAGAGATAACAAAAACATAAGAGAGATATTAAGAGTTACAAAGGGCAAGAATTTGTGGAGAACCATGATCGCCAACGTCCTGAAGGGACACGGTACATAAAAGCGGAAGAAGGTGTTATTTTTAATGCGCTTATTAAAAAACAATTATTAAAGACATCTTTCACACGGATTCTTTTTTCTAGCAGAGATCTTTCATTATCAGCTCTCCCCATCAAGTCGTATGACCGTAGACAGAAGTATCTTTCACTGAATATTTGCAGTGCCAAGCAACGTAGACTTTTGAAACGATTGAATACTAGGCTTTATTTCAATTTTCTGTATGTCAGATATCGGTAGTATAGATCCCCCATACCCAAATGGAAATGGCGATATTAATCGCCTGAACATTCCTCATTCTAGCGATTTCAGTCCGGAAGCCGGCGTATTTTTTTGAGCTTGTCATCTTTCTTTGCCTTTGACATGATGGTTACCCGGAATAGCCACATTAATAAGAAAGCAGAGAGCTTGAGAAGCAATCGTTTTTTGCCACGCCCTGACAAAGACCTTAGAATACGAGGTTATTAGAGAGAGTATTTTAGTAGGAACACTGCCGATGATCAGTTTATTTGACTGCCATCTGTCTATATTTCTGAGATGAGGTATTGTAACTATTTACATCGTTCGGAATGTTGTCCTCGTCTTTATTGCCACATTCACGAAGTTTACGCCGTTGTACGCTCCGGCCTTCTTCAGGTGATATACGTTGGATTTTCGAATCGAACCCTTTATTTAGTCCACGGGGTCAGATTGTTCTAATTCCACGTGCCATGTCTTTTCTGAATATCTGTTTCAGTTAATTCCCTTTAGTAATTCAACTCTTCAACTTTTTGTTCCCTCTTCTGTGGCCAGGTATTGAACTCAGAATTCTTTGGGTCTAGTTACTTTTTGGATTACTTCTACCAACGCTTTTTGTCCAGTGGGCAATCTAAATAGTGTAAATAGTCATTAATCGAACACGACAAGGGGTGGTAAGTATGAGGCACCCTGTGAGAAAGGAAACTACTTCAGATGAGTTTGATGAGAATTGCTCCATCTCGCAATTTTCTTGTCTTAGCCTGGGCAAAATCGAATTAAATGGGACATTCGTAATAGTTCTAAAAAGTGGATTGTTCACCTTTTATTAAATGTTAGGTATCCGGGCACTATTTTGTACCAAATACAAGAGCCGTTTGAAATAGTCATGTCGGTGGAAGCTTCTTGTTTTTTTGTTTTGTTTTTTTTTTTTATAAAATAAACATGCTGGCTCAAATGAACGTTCCGTCGGGAATTTTTATGTAAGTTTAATAAACGTGCCAATATAGATAATGATGCTGAGAAATCTCTTGAAAAATAATAAGCGTATTTGGATCTTTTCTGTTAATTCACGCCAAAATATTAATTCCCCGCAAATAAAAAAGAATTTATATTCACTAAAATTCACACCAGACTCTCCAAGAGCGAGGCTCTTCAATTGCACTCTGGTTGGGTTGACCTTTGCGATCACCCCAAATGTGGGCGACTCGGGTGGGCTATTTTTAAGTGTGGTGTCTACATTCGCGCTCACTCTGATAAGCAAGTTAAAAACAGATTTTTTTTTGAAATTGTAAAAAATTCCTTGTAAGTACCTCGAATATCATCTGCACTTACGAAATGTGAATAAATCCCCTGATTTTTGGCAATTTTACATTCTGAGATTTGGAGCTAAACAAATTTTGATTTAAAATTCATAATTTCAAAAGCGTGTCACAATTTAAACAAAAAAGACAAACTAATTTTGATTTAAAATTTATAATTTCTTGGGGTGAATTAATATTTGCGATAAGTAACTTTACATTATTTGGGATGAATTAATAGGACAGATCTGCGTATATTTTCATAAGAATATTTATACAAATTTAACTTAGAATTATTTTTCTATATCCTTTCTCTTAAAACATAATTACTTTCCAAACACATTAATATTTACATTAACTGCCACAAGTCTACAACAAAGATTTTTTTTGCGAACATTTCACCTAAAGCTTAGCAATAAAAGCCTCTAAGATGCAAGGAGTTACTGAGAATGAAAAAAAAACAATGGGGACAATAAAAGAACATGATTTAAAGGATACAGGAGATGACGATTGACATTGCATTCACATTTTTTGAAGATCGCAGTTGAGTGGGAAGTTGACCCAAATTCATTAAGAGCTACAAAAGGCAGGAAATTGTGGAAAGCCATGATCGCCAATGTTCTGAAGTGATATGGCACATAGGTGGTGTTATTTTTCGATGCACCGAAAAAGTTTCACAAGTGATAAGTGCGAAGAGAAGAAACTATCGGCATAGAGCTTACATCTAGCAATTTCAAAAATAAAATCTTGAGACCTATCTGGCAATCTAGTGCTGCGTTTAAATTCGTGGTGTTGAGGAAAGCTCACCAGAAAGCAGCGAGGCTAGAACTTCCCATGGTAGCGACTGACTGACCAAACAAGCTCGCTCTCACAAGTGTCTAATAGAGCATTAAATATTATATAATCAAACAGTAATGTCTAGTTTTATTATCTTGATGTCTTTACATGATTGTGTTATGAAGTTAGTGAATGGACTATGAGGAGCCTTCAAACAAATATAGCTTGCTAAATTTCAAATGTTAGTTATCTGCATAACGCATTTCGTTGCATAAATAAGTTTACCAAAATATTAACATAACAATTACTTTAAAAGGTATCCAATGTTGGCACATCTACGCAAAGAAATGCAAACCCTTAGCAGGACCAAAGAGCCGCGATGGCCATATTTGAGAATAAATCAAGCGATGGCCTTCCTCGAAATCGAATCGCACCCATCATTATAAAGTTGTGAAAAAAATTATAGGGGACCTCCATGCAGAGAAATGTAGCGATTTACTAAGTGTAGCTTAGTTATGGTACAAGGCCGAAAGTATGGAGCACCCAGTGAGGATCAAACTCGCTACTCAGTCATAACTGATCTAGCGAGTCAAGCTTGCTAAACATTACGCCGAAGCGCCCCCACGAAAAAAAATATAGCCTGCTAAATTTTAAATGTTCGTCAAGACGCTGTTTAATTTAGAGAAAGAAAGAAAGGTTACAAAAAGAATGAGCGAACACCAAACGCACCCATCTAGCTATTGACCAAGTTTGACATTACTTAATTTCGGTGATCATATGGGAACCGATGTTTCAACGTGATATGGCCGCAAGCCTCATAGGTAGCTGAAAAGTCATATTTTCATTGTTAGTGAATAGTCTGATGGAAAAATTAGTTACGTAAATCATACATTTATTTCTTTTTCACTTTGCTATAATAGTAATAATCAATTTAACTCTTCTTTTTTTCTTAAAGTTTTCATTCAAATTGCTTGAATAGAAAAGATTTCCATATTTTGTTTCTTTCAGTAAAAAAAAAACAAAATAAGAATAAAAATGAGGAACCCACTTTGGCCATTGACAGCAAGACGAGTAAAAAAATTACAATTGACAACTTTTAAGGGCTGGGCGTCATCATGTTTTTTTTTTTTATTTATTTTTTTTTATTAATGAAACAAAAAAAAATAACATACTCAAATTTTACCAAAAAGTTTAAAGAAGATGCCAGATATAAGCAAACAAAAGAAAAGTAAGTGAATACATTTTTATATATTAAGGAGAAACACTTTATCATTATTACTAATAATCAAAAAGATTTTCTTTCTAGAGTTGAATTTTTACTTTTTCCGAATATGTGAGAAGTCGTTCTATTTAGGTTTAATATATTTTTTCCATGCTATCTTCTCCTCACCATCTTTTGGATCTTTTATGACACGAAATGTAGATTAGGTAAAAATCGTTCAGAATTTCTTTTTAAAAGTAAAAGGAAAATAAAAGTACACGTAGATTTTTTTTTTTCTATGCAATTTCACATAAAATCTCACGTAATCTCACTACCATTAAGGCAGTTATCTCGTTTTCAAAATGGCTGTTCTAAATTGTAATGTTTCAACATCTAGAACATTTTCTTAAACATTTCACCCCCCCCTCCCTTACAAAGCAATAAATCCACTAAGACGCAAGGGATTACGGAGTGTGAAACAATATGAGAGAAAAAAAAAATAGTTGTTTTTGTCTAGTGGCATATTGATCGCTGTCAGTTATTTAATGCCGAAATCTAAATAATCACTACTTAGTTGTATCTGTTTCTGAGATAATAACGGTTTTAGTGATAAAGTTCTTAATAATTAAACTAACATAGCTGGCTCGAGAAGAGGTGGATTCATACCTTTCCACAAGAGTATTTGCTCGGAAGTGAATACAACGAACCCAACGGGACTTCGAATTCGGCTCTTCGATTAGCAATTCCTAGCCAGTATCCATTAAACCACTCGCACATGCAAGCTTACAGCACCTGATATTCGCAAGCGGTCACCGATCTAGGTACTGACTAAGGCCAACGTTGCTTAACTTCGCTGATCGTACGTGTACAGGTGTTCGACAATAAAGAAAGTCATTATTAAAGAAAGAAAGAACCTGAATTAAGGACAGTAGATAACGAGGAGGCACGGTGGAGTAAGGAATTAGAGCCGAGTTCGAATTCCAGTCGAATCCATTACATTCACTTACGTGCTAATACTCTTGGGAAATGTATGATTCCTCTTCTCATCCCCCCAGCTATGGGTAAATAGCAGGACAGACCAGGCCCTCTAGCCTTGAATGGCAACTGGTCTACCGCAAAAAGAAATGACAACCTACTGCGGGAAAAAATCTGCTTTGTCAGTCATGTCTCGAAAGAGCGTGTATCATGCATGACACATAGCTGACTGAGATAATGATTGACATTGCATTTAAATTTTTAAAGATCAAAATTGACTGGAAATCAAGAAACCGGAAGAGAGTTCCTTAAGCGAGGTGTGCGGGAGAAGAAACTTTGTTATAGAACATATAAAATATTGATTGCCAAATTCGCAAGACAGATTTGGGAAAAACTTCTCTGTGAGAAATTTGCATGAAAGGTATTATATGATATGTTTCAACTCTCTATACAATCTTATTCAGAAAAATTATGCTGAACAGAGGAAGGGTGGCTTAAAATTGTTGATGATCTTGTCCTAGTTGAGTTTCTTTTCTTCATCGAAGACTTCTGCTACGATGAAGTCCTATGTCTTCACATTGATTTAGGAAGATTTGAAGGATTTGAGTTCCTTTGAAAAAGCTAATACAGAAAAAAAAAACTGAATAAAAAGATAGCTAAGTTTGATTCGTTATGCCAAGCAATTATGCTGATGTTGAATTCAAAATATAGGGGTTTCTGTTTATACTATTTACATCGTTCGGACTGTTATCCTCATCATTATTGTCATATTCACGACGTTTCGGTCGTTGTATGCATAGACCTTCTTCAGGTGATATAACGTTGGAATTTCGAACGATGTAAATAGTTACAATACCTCATTTCAGAAATATAGACGGATATAGGTCTAGGTTTCTTGCTCCAGAAATGATGACATCTACATCGAAATTGCAGCAGAAATATTAAGAAACGATATATTTGCCAAGGAATATATATATTTTATGAGTCATTTTTGTTCGTACTTTTTTTTCTGTTTTGATGCATTAGGACAAGAAGACCAAGTATCTAATAATAAAAGAAATATGATGCAAGAACAACAGTGACATTAACTTTCACTTCGTTATTATTAGGTTGGTGCAAAAATAATGACGTATTAATGTCGTTTTTTGACGTTAAAAATACGTCAAAAACGACATTATTACGTCATTATTTTTGCACCAACCTAATAGTTTTCACTGGAAAAATAAACTATATAGAGTCATCTGAATCGGGTTCGTCATGCGAAGACAAGAGTTGTCCTTGCCATTTATGCTGATTTGATAATTCATATCAAACCCAGGGATGGCTGCAACATAAACCCACCAAGTCGAGATCTCTGTATCTATTATAATATCTATCTATCTATCTCTTTATATAAGAAACTAGAAAGTCCAAGAAATATTCCTTGACAATTTCTGTAGACAATTCGAAACCACTATTGAGCAGAGAGAAGCGATATTTTTTTGTTACGCCTATGGATGATATACGAGATGAGAATCAAACTCGTTACCGTTGTAATGACGAGCACGGCTGGCTTGTTGATCATTCCACTTCGACGAGGCGCCCGGTACTGTTAGAGAATGCGAAGGCCAGGGCCAGAGTGGTCAGCGATTGGCCAGTGTACCGCGAGGGCGGGGGTATTCGGACAATGATGGATTGCCTTTGTCTGGGTTTTGAATATAAGTCCAGAAGGATGCGAATTCAGCAGAGGGTCTCAAGAATTCTGAAGCATCGATACGCCTCCCACACCCAGGATAGGTCTGTGAAGGGACGCTGAACCAACGTGCGACACGCGTTCCTGTGACGTCATTCCTCCTACTGCTTCTTAGAATCCAAGATGCCAGTCTTAATAAAACGAATAACAAAAAGAAATGGTCCTTTTCGTTGATAACGTTTTATGTACTGTCGTGGGGATCCAGAGACGACAATAATCAGTGAGGGTCGAACGCACTATTGAGAAGGTAAAACTTACTCTCAACTTTATGGCGTCGAGGAGTCTGCTGTTAACATCAATTGCGTCCAAAACGACACAGAATGATTTCTCTTTTAAGTTTGATTTTCCTATCTTCGTGCCCATTTGTTTATTATCATTATTATTATGAAGACTGATGATAATAATAATAATATGAAGACGAAGGATAATAAGAAGAAGAAGGAGGATAATAATAAGATGAAAAAGAAGGATAATAATAACAACGATGATAATAATAATAAGGATAATAATAATAAGAAGAAGAATCATAATAATAATAATATAATAATAATAAGAAGGATAATAAGAAGAAGGATAATAAGAAGAAGAAGAATCATAATAATAATAAGGATAATAATAATAAGAAGAAGAATCATAATAATAAGGATAATAATAATAAGAAGAAGAATCATAATAATAATAAGGATAATAATAATAAGAAGAAGGATAATAATAATAATAAGAAGAAGAAGAAGAATCATAATAATAATAAAGATAAGAAGAAGAAGAAGGATAATAATAATAAGAAGAAGAAGAATCATAATAATAATAAGGATAATAATAATAAGAAGAAGAAGAAGAATCGTAATAATAATAAGTATAATAATAATAATAATAATAAGGATAATAAGAAGAAGCATAATAATAATAATAAGAAGAAGGGTAATAATAATAATAATAATAATAAGAAGAAGAAGGATAATAATAAGATTAAGGATAATAATAATATGAAGAAGATGAATTATATAAAATAATGATCTATGGCATTATTATTATTGCAGAATGATTTTTTAAAACAGCAATGTCTGCGCATTATACAGTAATTACTTTTTTAAATGGATTTTTTAATCCGATAGTTTTTGTCATTACTATAAACGTTATTTTTTATTGGGTACACGTGTTTGTTTTTATGTATTTTCTCATACAGCTGTTAGACTGGTTGTTATTAATTTCGTTGATAAAAAGTAATTAAAAAAAAACGAGGATAGCAACACAAACACGTATATCCACTAAAAATATAGATATTACAGAAAAATCTTTTTGTTTAATTGAATTCTCAAATTTTTCTACGTGGCGATGTTTACTTATTTTTTCTATGGTAGTCAAAAAGGAAAATAATCGCACGCAAATGCAACAAAGTACGAAATAACTATTAAAATAAATGTAAATCATATTTTAGCAACTCTCGTCTGCACTAGGGTTACAGCAAATTTTCTGTAAGTTTTCTCCAAAATTATATTTTCTTTAGCAATGTTTATATTGATATTATGCTCGAGATTTTGGGGGATTTTTTTAATAATGTTCATCGATTCAAATATTTTCTTTTTACTGTAGCGTTTAGACTAAGTAATTAAAGACATTATGTAGATGAAGACACCATTGCCACTAATGTTTTCCCATTATGTGGGGAGGTATTTCTGCCGCGCCCTATATAAATATTTTTAATTGTACTGATGAGCTTTCCTCTTTCGTATCTCGACTTTATGAATTTAAGCTCAATACTCAATTGTATGTTAGGTCTCGTAATGTCACTGTTGAAATTGCTAGTTTTAACAGCCAGTTTCTTTTCTCGCACTTCTCGCTTATGGAACTCTCTTCTGCCTTCTTGCTTTCCTCTCAACTACGATCTTCAAAAATATAATTTCTACTTCTATCGTCATTTTCTGTCTTCTTGAATCCTGTTTTATTAATGCCTTCTTTGTTTCTTTCACTCTCGCTAACGCGTTGAATCCTGGTGCTTTTTATTGCCTTACTTGGATTGAAATGATTTTTTTTTAAATCCTTTCGTATTTAATGCACTTTCGATAGATAGTCCGTTAAATCGAGATTGGACTTCTTTCTGAAATTCTAGGAGTCGTTATCATTTTTTTCTGTGAACTGTTAATATTTGTCGCTGTTATCACGAAGCTTCGATCGATGTGTTCTTCGTCCTACTAGCGACCACATCCACTTGGAAGAACACATCGATCACAATTTTATGATTAACAACAAAAATGATATAATTGTCAGCAATTTCTGGAACAATAAATATACTTCATCCGAGAATTTCAAGTAGCAATTATATAAACATCATTATTGTTTCTTTATTAGCTGAATTAATATTATAATTATTAAGTTACTTTCATATTAATATTTTAATTGCCTTTTTATCGTAGATTTACTCGTGCCAGCGATCGGAAATAAAAGATAGGTTCTCGGCGAGATTCGAACTCACTTTACTTCCGCTCACGCACTGCTTTCTCACTGCTGCAGATGTACGACCAGAGTAAAGTCACGATAAAAAAAAATTTCAGCTTGTAGAACTCTCTCCCGGATTCATGCTTTCCTGCCAAATTTGATCTTCAAAAATTTAAATGCAATGTTATTCGCTATCTACCGTCTTCCTGATTACTCTTCTATTGTACTCGCTCCCTCATAAGGTTCTCTTTCTTCTAATTCTTTCAAAGCCAGTAAGTCCTTATGTCTTAGTGGCCTTACTGCCTTGCTTGTGCTAAATTCCAAATTGAAAAATGTCAAAGTTAACAACATTTATATATATATAGTTATATACTTTGGTATCTATGTATACTGTCATAATTGTCATAATATATTTCAGTCTATATGACAATATAATATATAATAACGTCATAATATATTTCAATCTATATGACAATATAATATATAATAATGTCATAATATATACCGTTGTGATGAAAACAATAATACTTGATCTCTCGGCCAGGAAGAGGGTTCTTCGTGGCCGTGAGATCAAGGCACGTCAGATCTAATGACGGTTTCGAATCCTGCCGTTGGGCGCATATTTTTCTAAGATTTCTCCAATATTCAGGCAGGTGAATAGAAATAAATAAATAAATATACTGTTTAATAAATAAATAAATAAGAACAGAGAATCTAATCAAATGTGGGTATCC